AATGTAGATGATTTATTTTCAAGGACTTTGGCTTAGAAAGGGAGGAGAGATGGGATGATAGGTTGAGGGGATGGTATGATCAAGGGGGGAATTTTAAGGATGAGGGAGGCTTGGGCATGCTTGAAGCCAGTAAGGAAGGAACCCACTGATAAGCAGAGGTTGAAGACTGGAGGGGGGGATGAGTGAAGATGCAATCTGTGGGAGAAGATGGGAGGGGACCAAGTGCCCATGTAGAGGTGGGCTGGCCTTGGGAAGGTTGGCCTTTGCTAGGGACTGGAGGAAAAGAGAGAGTAGGAGAAGAGGGAGCTGATGTGGACTGGCTTTCATTTTCTCAGTAAATTAAGAAGCAAGGGCCTCAGCTGAGATAGAGAATGGTGAGGGGCTTGAGGAAGGAGGAGAATACCTTTGGAATAGCTCCTGTTGGGAGTGAGACAGAGAATCAATTATGTAGGAATGAAAAGGGCTGCCTTACTGCAATGAGGAGGATGGACAACATGAACTGGTAATGGACCAAATCAGTATGGTTGTAAGACATTCTAGTTAGAATACAGCAAGTTTAACTAAAGGCTTTTGCCTCTAAATCTTCTAGGACTTAACTCAAAAAAAAAAAAAGACTTTTCCAGTACAGAGAAATGAAAGTATAAACTTTGCATTGCTAATGGTACAGTGTTTAGTCTCTCATATCTTGTTAGGCTTATACACCAGGAAAAAGAGTTCATATGTAGTTGGTTTGCTTGTTTTTGGAGGGAGGTGATTAGTCCAGGCCAAGTTCCCTATCCCTGGTTCAGGCTGTACCACGAAGGAAATGAATGCTGCCATTCTAAGTAAAAGAGGCCTTGGCATGTGCTTCTCTAGTCTGGTGAGAACTCCTGCCAATGGTAGAAGAGTTGATGGTAGAATCAACTAGCAGAACATGAAACATGACAAAATGGTGATAAAGGAACTACACAAGCACCTAGTTTCACCTCCATGTCTGGCTCATGTCTTTCTCATAACACAGTGGCATTTTCTTTATCAAAGTTCTATCCTAATATTCCAAATACTACAATGATAGGCACAATTAAGGCAAACACAAGCTAGGAGACAAGCAGGTTTTGCTATGTTTTCCTTCTAGTAGGTAGGGCTGCCAAGACTGTGGCTCTGAAAAGGTTTTTCTCTAACTCTGCAGTTGGAAGTAAATGTTCAATGTGCAACACTGCTAACATTTGTATATACATTTACTTTTTCAAAAACGATACCAAAATTTCATTTTGAAGTCTGCAAACTATAGTCCAATGAGTTTGACCTCAATTTTTGGCAAAATTCTAAAACATATTATTCAAAAGGATGGTTAGGTAACATCTCAAAAAGGAAACAGCAATCACAAAGAGCCAGAAGGGCTTCAATAAGAACAGGTCATTCTAGAATAACATAATTTGCTCCTCTGATAGCATTACTGGACCAGTGGATGATCAGGGAATGATGTAGTTATAGTTTACTTAGATATAAACAAAGTGTCTGACAAAGACTCCTATGCTTTTCTCATGGACAAGATGAGGAAACATGGGCTAGAAGATAGTATAGTTTGGTGGCTCTGGAACTTGGTGAATAGCCAGATGGCAAGAATAGTCATTAATGGTTCACTGTCAACTTGGCCCAGGGATCTGTGCTTGGCCCTGTGCTATTTCTCATTTTTATCAATGACTTGAAAAAAGACTTATCTGCAAATTCAAAAGGTATGCCATCTAACACAAAGTTAGATGGGATAATTAACACATTGGATGATGGCATCAGGATCCAAAAAGATCTGAATAGGCTAAACTATTTTGGCTAAATCTACTAAGCTGGCATTTGTTAGAGACAAATGTAAAGCCTTATACTTAGGTTAAAAAAAAATAACCCAACAATCTTACTAGTACAAAATAAGAGAGTTGTGAAAAGGTTTCTCTCTAGCTTTGAAAAAAGAGGAGGAGGAATTACAGTCTAAAAGCTCAAGGAGTTGACATGTGATATAACCAACAAAAAAAAGCTCACATAATCTTAAGGGGACATTAAGAAAGACATAGTTGCCAGAAGTATGAAGGTAAAATTTGTGCTATACTTTTGCCCTGTTCAGACCATATCTAGAGTACTTTTGTTCAGTTCTGAGCTCCACATTTTAGGAAAAGACATTGAAATAAGCTTGAGAACATCGAGAGAAGGCAAGCAGGATAGTGAAAAGCCTTTAGAACATGCCATTATAGGACTGGATGAAGGGAACGAGGAAGTTTAGCCTAGAGAAAAGGAGACTGGTGGGGGTAAGCCATGGCATGACAGCTATTTTCAGGTAGTTGAAGGACTGTTACATACAAGATGTATACTTGCTTGGCCTCAGAGCTAGGAGCAATGTGTAAACAGTGGAAAGAGAAAAATTCAGGCTTGATGTAAGGAAAAAAATTTCCAACAATTAGAGCTATCTAAAAATGGAACAGACAGCCTTAGATGGTCATCAGAAGGTAGTGGATTTCTCCTCACTAGAGGCCTTCAAGCAAAGGCTAAATAAACCCTTTGTCAGATAGGTTGTAGTAGGGCTTCCTATTATAGTAGGAGTTAGATTCTCATTCCCAAAGTTTTTCTCCACTGCTTTCAAACAGTGCCTATTGACATTTACTCTTGGGGCAGCTAGGTGGCGCAGTGGATAGAGCACCGGCCCTGGAGTCAGGAGGA